GTCTCCAAAGTGAGGCTACTAGTGAAATCGTTTCTACTGTTTTAAAAGAAATTTTTCTTAACTCTTTCAGCTTTTGACAATATTTGAGCCTGAAATTGTATTTTTCTTAACTCTTTCAGCTTTTGATAATATTTGAGCCTGATATTGTATTTTTCTTAACTCTTTCAGCTTTTGATAATATTTGAGCCTGAAATTTTTTGCTTAATAAAGTTATAAGGATACAAAACAAGGGAAAATGAAAACTTGAAATATTTATTGTTTTTTTAAGTAACAGGTTTGTAGACAATAAAAACTTGAGTAATAGTAATGAAAGCATTATGAAGTTTTATTTTTTCCGTTAGCAGGATGATCATTAACTATTCTCAAAATACATGAAAAATTCTTTCTTGACTAATTTTCTTACAACAAAGCAGGTTTTAAATTAATTGGAACAAGATCTTACAAAAACAGTAATTCAAATTTCACATAAAAAATATTATGTATTTGAAAATAAGCAGAAATTTGAACCAACTATCTTTATCTTTTTCAGCCTAATCTAAAAATGCTTGCTGTTGTTGTCTAGCACAGTGTCAAACAAGTGCTTTCCATAGTTAGGGTTGTCCAAACCTTTTTTGTATTTTGCCCAGTGGGAGCTGAAGACTGAATAAAGTGTCACAGATGATTGCTCACTAAAACGACATAGCCCAGTGTTTTAAATTTTGATGAACTCTTTGATGTGTTGAAAAACAATGTTTATGTGGAAAAAAAATTTATGGTAAAAGCAACTTGATGTTTGGTCACAAGCTCACTCAAAAGATCTGTATTGTTGAGGAAGTTTATGCAGTCATTTCCAGCAAACTCTCCTCAGTAGTTTAATCTTCAAATGTAACTTTAAAAGCTATTCACTGGCTCATTCCCAGATTCTCTTAAGAATCTGGTAAAGGTGAATCACCACCCCAAGCTAAAGATTCCATTAGGGAAATAAGTTCCAAGACAGCTTTGGAAGCATCCTCTGCTTGGAAAAGAAGCTCATTTATCACATTCAAGAACTTCATTGCCTGCAATTTTCTTGCTCTTGAATGGAGTGAAATTGGATTCCACATAGGATGTTAGCAACTTTCATGTCACTTGCAATAAAGAATGGTGAACTAAAAATCTTCAAAAGAGCAAAGATTGATTTAAAGTTCTCATAATTTTCTGGAAGGTTTTCGGCTATGGCCATAATTAGGTGCTACTTTACACTAGAATCCAGGTATATGGAACCAGTGAGGTTTGCCATTTTTTGATATGCAGTTTGAGTGTGGGATCTCCTGATGCCTATGATTCTCAAGGTAAACTTCAAGAAGTTTCCACCACCATCAATCCCAACTTTGGTGATGCTGCTTGATTTAGAAATTCCTCTTTCTTCTGACACCAAAGCAACTAACTCAGGCAAACTAATGCAATGTATGACCTTAGTTATAGAGATTTTTTTTTGAAACATAAATAGTTGAAGTGGTGAAGGAGTACCACTTCTTCCTGACTCTGGTAAACTCATACCTGATTTTGATTCCACCAGTCCAAGTAACTCGTTGAGAGTTGATGTTGCTCTGATTTTGCTGCTGGAAAGACCAGTGTTGATTTGAACCTTGACAATGTCGGTTGTTAAGAGCATGGGTTTCTTTTCTGAATTTTGGTAGGAAGGTCCAGGAGTGAGAAGCATTGGTCTTCCACCCTGTGCTCTGAGCAGTTTTTTAGTTTCTGTAGGCAAGGCAACTTTTGCTCAATGACATATGCTGCTCAGTTTTTCTCCAAATTAAGAGTCAGTCTGCACCAACTTTTTCAAACTTTCAAATTTTTAAGCTTTTTTGCACTTATCAAAAAACCCTATATTAAGCGTTGTCAGGCAAAGAGAGCGCAGCTTTTCACAAAGCATAATCAGTCAAAGGACTTTCTTGATGCTTTGAAAGTTGTACAGTCTGGGGAGCTCATCGCTGATATTACAATTGTCTAGTTTTTGCAAGTTAGTTCTGCAAAAGTTGCAAATTTCTGAAGAAACCTTGGGATCAGTGAATTCAATATCTTGTTTGAGCAAGCCCTTGATTCTCTCTTTCATGAAATTTGTAACTTGTCTGTCACATTTTTTCATGCACAGAAAGCAGAAAGTTCTTCTGCACTTTTCATAAGTTTTGGGAAAGTTGGGCATTTTCCCGGTAACAGAATACAAAAACTATTCAATACATTGTATTTGTATTTGCTCTGACTAAGAAAAAGTTTATAACTTCCACAAATACTTTTACATGTTCTAGTTGCTTGATTTAGATTTAATTTAGTCCACTAATAATAACTTTATAATTAAGTTAATAACAACTTAGTTAATAATAACTTAGTTTAAAATGATTAAGTAAATGCTTCTAAACTTCTTCCAAAAAAGTGATAAAATGTTTTTATTAATTAACCCAATTAGACAATAAGTATTGCAGTAAAATTTTAATGTATAAAGTTTTTTGAATTTTTTAAAATTGATTGATTTTATAAAAGTTACTCAAAAAAGTTCAAAATAATTTTAAAGTAAATTTAAAGTAAATAAAGTAAATTTAAAGAAAATGGTGAGTTTTAAATGGATTGCCATTTTGACTAACTTTATCATCAGGAGGTAAGGAAATCTAAAATTCTGCTTTGCTTGTTGTGAAAACCTTGCTTACCCAAAGTAGAGAACTAATTAAGTTTAAGGAACTATTTGATCTAAGAAACCTTAAAACTATTTTAGGTATATAAAAGGTGCTTTCAAATGCTAAGCTCCATTATTCTCAGTTCACTTAATCTCAGAAGTAAAATCTTGTATTTTATCTCAGAAGTTAAGCTCTAGAGACTTTTAGAAAATCTTCAACAACCTGAACAAACTGTCTTACAAAATTGTCACAGTCTTACAAAATTGTTTTCCAGAATTCTCTTCAATTTTCTCAAAACTATTTAATAAGTACTTGACTGAGTCTTGTTTTCCTGCCGATTACAAAATGACATCTGTTGTTCTAATTTTCAAAAACTCCAGTGAACATTCTGACTCCTCCAATTATTGTTCAGTCAATCTTTTTTTTGTTATCAGCAAGGTCAATGAGTCTTTGATAAACAAATTTCCCATCTTGATTCAAAAATTTTGCTGTCAATACAGTTTTTGTTCCTCTCGATCTACGGCTGACTTGTTAACTGCTGTAACTGAAAGATTTAATTGTGCATTAGATAGAGGCGGAGAGGCTAGAGCTGTTGCAATTGACATATCTAAAGCTTTTGACAATTTTGGCATGCTGGTCCTCTCAATTAGCTTGTTTCAAATGGTGCTCCTGGCAAAGTTTTTTAGATTATCAAATCCTTTCTTTCTAACTGTTTTATTAAAGTCATCCTCAAAAGCCAACACTCTTCTTTATTTCCAGTAACTATCCTTGGTCCTATTTTGTCTCTTATCTACATTATTCATTTTTCTGACAACCTTAGATTCAAAGTAGCTCTTTTTGTTGATAAAAACAATATACTCCTGTCTTGACAAAAAGTCTTCTCTTTTTAATTGTTTAGAACAGGCAGCTGATCTTGAATCTGATCTCTCTTCTGTAACAGATTGGGGCTCACAGTGGCTTGTTAATTTTAACTCTAACAAAACTCAGTTATTTACTGCAAACAACTATTGCAGTACTGTTGACTTTTCTATATTAATAAATGGCAACCCTCTTACTGAGTGGTCTCTCTTCTTCTACAACTTCTTGAATTATCATTTACTACTGACCTTTCATGGAAACCATATACACAATCGATTACTAAATTACCATCTGCTAAGGTTGCTTCTCTTATTCCATTCTCTACCTCTACAAATCTCTTATTTGTCCCGATATGGAATACTGTTGTCATATTTGGGCTGGTTTTTCTAATGACCCTTTTTCTCTTCTAGACAAGGTTCAAAAAAGCATTGTAAACATAAATGGACCCGGGCTATCTGCTAATCTTGAACCTCTTTCCCATCATCATAAAGTTGCATCTTTTTTTCTTTTTTACAAATACTATTATGGTTGGTGCTCAAAGGAGCTTTTATCTCTAGTTCCATCAACTAAAACTCATTCTTGCTTGACTCGTCATTCATCAAAGTCACGTTCTTTTACTGTATTTGTCCTTGCATGCTATTAAAACTTTTATTTGTCTAGTCTTTTTGCCCGCACTTCAACGCTTTAGAACTCTCTCCCATCTTCCTGTTTTCCTGACTCATAGTATCTTCAACTTTTTAAGTCTTCTGTCAACCATTTCCTTACTCTATAACTATTCTTTTTTTCTTGTAACTTTTAACTTAATAATGGTTGCTTGCAGATTTGTTGAAAGTAAATCAGAATACAAAAAAAAAAAAAAAAACACCCCACCAAGTTTATACCAAAAATACCTATTTTAAAAATTTATTTTAATCAAAACTAAAAAACTTGGTTGCCTATAATTTTGCATCCTTATGACTTTACTAAGCAAAAAACACAATTACAGGTATAAAAATTATCAATGGCTGAAAGACTGAAAAAAACATTCAAAAACAGTAAAAATGGTTCCTCTAGTACCTTTTTCATATTAATTTTGCACCTCTTCTTTGTGTGATATAGTAGGACATTACAAAAATGAAAAACAATAATTTTCTATTAAACTTTGAATGAATGAATGAAAAACTTAGATCTATGTTATTTGCTTTTACATTCATTATCAAAAAATTTAATTGTTAACGTTTTCTTTGATATTAATTTTCATTTTTACATTATATATGTAAAAAAAAAAATAAAAAAAAATTTCCTCTTTTATATGCAATTTTAAACAAAATTGCATATAAAAGAGGAAACTCATTCGTAATTATGTAAAAAGAATCAACAAAAAACCACGAGAAATTTCTCAAATTAGAAACTGACTTTTTTGATATATTTATAAAAAATTTGGTGCAAAATATTTATAGCATAAATTATCAAAATACTTTTGAAATTAAAAATTAGGATTTGAATATATGTATGAAAGTTTAAATATCTTACTTTAGTGCGTCTATTTCGTAAGAAATGTAACAAATCTCCATTCTCCATAAACTCAACAACTAAACATAAGGGTTTTCTAATTGTAGAACAACCAATCATACAAACAATATTCTTATGATATCCAATGCCCTTCATCAGGTTTATCTCCTCATTAAAATCATCTACTTCTAATTGGTTTGCAGAATCTAAATAAAGAATAAAATAAAAATGTATGTTTTTTTAAAATTTGATCTCTCTCTTTCTCTTTCTTTCTTTTTTTCTTATATATATATATATCATATATATATATATATATATATCATATATATATATATATATATCATATATATATATATATATATATATATATATCATATATATATATATATATATCATATATATATATATATATATATCATATATATATATATATATATCATATATATATATATCATATATATATATATATATATATATATATATATATATATATATATATATATATATATATATATATATATATATATATATATATATATATATATATGTATATATATATATATATATATATATATATATACATACATATATATATATATATATATATATATATATATATATATATATATATATATATATATATATATATTTATATATATATATATACATATATATATATATATATATATATATATATATATATATATATATATATATATATATATATATATATATATATATATATATACATATATATGTATGTATGTATGAATTGAATATATATATATATATATATATATATATATATATATATAAAAGTTGCTATCTGAGTGTTTTTGCTCTGTCTGCTTATGTTTATATGTATGTTTGTGTTCTGTCTGAACCTCTGGCCCTGTGTTGGTTCACCCGTATGTTACTTTATGTTTGTATTCTGTGATATTTCTGAACCTCTGGCTCAGTGTTTACTCACTCATCAGTTACTTTATGTATGTATGTGTTTTGTTTAAATATTTGAATATCCTGTTTTAACGTTTAAATTAATTTTGTTGCAGTGTTAACTCATTAAATAACTAGATACTCCAACTATAAAACCATTATCTCTAGTATTTTGTTAAATGTAATATTTTTCCTAATGCATTTCCAAAATATCATGCCGAATGTTTTAAAGTACTGTTTGCAGAAAGTAGCTTTTTTTAATTACTCCAGGTCAGGTCAGGTTCAGGATCATCACAATCACCTTGCTACTGGTATTATGTAACCCAGTATGCTGCTTGTAGATGTGTGCTTTTTTAGGAAAAGGCTCGAAGATACAAACTCAGATTTGAAAATCCCCTGCTTGAGGCTCTTGGTTGAGTAAAGGCTAGAGATGGTATAAAAGGGTAGAGATTGATAAAAATACTCATTTTGGGATGATATTAACTGTATCTTCTTGTAGGAGGCCTCCTAGGCAAATACTTTAGGAGTAAGCAGAAAAATTATGTTGACCAGCCACGAACCCCTTCTTCATCTATGCTGGTGTAGATGTAAATCTGTGTTTCATTGTTTCCTCCCTAGGATGATAAATAATGAATCTTCTTGACTCTTATAGGTATGCAACTCTTCCTGTTATCTCCTAATGAGGATACAGCTCTAAAACTCAGTTTAATGGCTCTGAGGCCAGCTAGTAGTAAGGTTTCCAAAACTCTGTGGTAGCTCTTACAGTTGCAAAATCAATCAACAGCTGCAAAATATCAGAGTATTAACAATGCTATGCTTGTGGTGAATAGATAGTGTGCCTTTTATGGCTTTTAGTGTGCATTGCCAAGGCCACATAAGGAGCCCTATGTTACGACTTAGGGTTAATTAACAGGACTGTAGAAGTTGCATAACTCATTGCTTAGGAGGTTGTGCTCTATCTATGAATGTTCTTTTTAAACTTAAAACATACCAAAAGTTACCCAAAATACTAAACATAAAAAACTATCACCACTACTTAACTGTTTGAATATATCTTTTAAAAATATTTGCGTTCTGCAAAGCAACTTTTCTATCAGATGAATCTTACCTCTTGCAAAATTCACTAGACTTGCTTGGTCTTAGTGCTACAAATTGAAATTCTACTATTCCTTCTTATGATCTCAGAGTTGATGGGCACTATCCTTTGGCTTGCAAAGACTCCAATAGTCACATGCTTAGCTTGGGAGTATACATACGCATCAATTTAATGATTTGATGTGAAATCAAGTTTGAATCCTTTGATCATTCTTTTATGTGTTTTCCCTTATGTTCTCTAGTTCAAAAGAGCAACTCTGAAAAAACAGCTATTTATTATTGCAAGAAATTGATGTAAAAAAGTGCCATCAGATGCTAAGCTCCATTATTCTCAGTTCACTTAATCTCGTATCTTATCTGAGAAGTTAGGCTATAAAGACTTTTGGAAAATCCATAACAGCGCCATCAACTAAGGTATGTCTAATATCCCATCTCAGCATTAGTGATCAGTGATCTGCTTTTTATCATAAAAAAAAAATCATTTTATAATTCCTAAATAACTACATTCCATTTCAAAACTTCCTATTATTTCTAAAATATTAGAAACCACCATTCCTTTACAATTCTAACTAACTTTTAATGGAATACAGAATAGTTTGCAAATAATTTTAAAAAAACGTTAAATATGTTTGCAAGACTAATAACCACATATTGGTGAATATACTGGACAAATATGTTGATTTTTTTTAGAAATTTCTAGTCTTTTAAGATTTCACATTTAAATTTGCATGGGTAAAGACATCCATAACTCAGAATCTCCAAATTATGGTCAGACTATTACTCAACTATGCTGACTTAACTGCTAACTTAAAATTGTATGAGGTTTAAAATTTGTTGTACCAAACAGATTTATTTTTATTTTCTTCATTAATACTATTTTTTAAGATTAACTTAAATTAAATTTTTACGCAAAATTAAATTTTTATGCACTTATGCAGTTTTATATGAAAGCGAGGTGTTCTTTAGGTATTCTATTTTTTCAAAAAAAGCATTATACTAATTTTGAAAAAATGTAAGAATGTAGCAATGCAAGTGCAACATAAAAGTAACAAAAATAATTTAAAAAATGCCTTTTAAAAGTTTCACTGCAAAAAAGTTAGCAGATTTTTCCTTGATATCATGTAAAGTGACTTTTGAATTGATAGATTTTTGACTTTTTAAGTTTAGATTCTTTTTATTGGAAAATAAGTTTGCATCTATTTTTGCAATGTAGACAGTGCCAAAAGCCCCTTCACCAATTTTTTTATCCAAAGTGATGTTTTCTGGAAAAATTTCCCATTCATCTGCAGATAATTCCTTGCAAACCATAAAGTTTCTAAAAATATACACAATAATATAATCTACATTGGATTGAATTACAACCTTTTAAAAGAAAGATTTTTTCTTATAAAAACATGTTTAAATTTGGATATAACTATTAAAGAATTTCTATCTAAAAACTATAAAAAAAATTGACCCTCCCTTTATGTCATGGAAAACTGCAATTTTCAACCAATAATTTGACTTTTTTTAAAAAAAAATAGCATTGAGTCAAGACTAATCAAAAAACTCCTGGTAGGTTTAAAGCTTAAAAAATTATAAATTTTTTATGTATTTGGATTAAATTTAGCAAGATACACATTTATGTCTTGAAAATTTCCTCAAACTGATTCACCCTAATATTTATATGTATATGTATGTGTGTGTGAGTGTTTATGTTAATACAGGGTTTGTGTTAGTTTTAGAAATCAATTTTCCCTGAACATTTCCTAATTTTCTCCTGTTTTTAAGTACTTTTTCCCTGAGTTTGAAAAGTACATAATATTCTCTGTTAATGTAGAAGAATATAATACTTTTGAAGCTGAATTCATCTCTTGCAAAGCTTACCAGACCTACTTGTTTTTTGTGAGACTAATTTGAGTTCAGCTGTCTCATCTTGTGATCTTAGTGTTGATGGTTATCTTCCTTTAATTCGTTATTTAAGACTACAATAGTCACATGCTTGGCCTGGGCATCTACACTGGTAAGAATTCAGCTATTTGTTGGGAAACTAGGTTTGAATCCACAGAATATTCTTATATGTGCATTAATTTATCATAACTTAACTCTTTTGTCACCACGCTTTTTCTTTGTTCTATATTGCTCTCTTTTATCTCAAGACTGCACTCTTCTTGATGTTATTTCTGATCATATTGACCAAGCCCTCTCTTTTTATCCATCTGCCAATATTGTTGTTATCAGTGACTTTAATATTCATCACACTAATTGGCTTGACTCTAGCGTCAGTGACTCTGCAGGCAATAAAGCCCACAACTTTTGCCTTTCTCAATCCCTAACTAAAATAGTCAACTTTCCAATTTGTATTTCTGACAACCCGAATCATTTACCTTCTCTACTTGACTTATGTCTTGTTTATGTCTTGCTAGGACTGGCATTAGACAAAACCTTTTTGCCATTGTAAAAAGGTTTTGTCTAATGCCAAAGCCCGCTATTCTCAGGTCATTAAATTTTGTATTTCATTACAAAAATTAGGCTCTTGTCACTTCTGGAGAATCTTTAATAGTATCAATAATAAGGTCAAGTCTGCAATTTCACCTCTTTTGTATGGTTCAAACTTTGCCACTTCACCTAAAGACAAAGCTGAATTATTTGCTAAAAACCTTTCATCAATAATATCTCTTGATTTCACTAGCTGTTTTCTAACTGATATAGCCATCAAAGAAATTGATCCATTGCTTGACATTTGTATCACTCCAGCTTCTGTATCTAAAGTGATTTCCTGCTTAGACTCTTCTACAGCTTGTTGCCCGGACAACGCACCTGTTATAGTCTTGTAGAAGTGTTCTCTGGAGCTGTTGTCTATCCTTTCAAAACTTTTCATTAAGTGCTTATCAAAGTCTTGTTTTTCAGCCTGCTGGAAAGCAGCATCTGTTATCCCTATTTTTAAAAATTCTGGAGAGCGATCCGATTTGCCTAACTACCGTCCTATTAGTCTTCTTCCTATCATAAGCAAGGTTTTTAAATCTTTAATTTACAAACACTTAATCACTTATCTTGAATCTAATAACTTTCTAATCATCATTATGGATTTCGATCTTCTTGTTTTATGGCTGATTTGCTAACAGTAATAACCAATAGGTTTTATTGTGCATTAGATAAAGGTGGAGAGGTTAAGGCCATCACTCTTGACATTTCTAAAGCATTTGATAAAGTTTGGCATGCTAATCTTCTCCATAAGCTTTTTTCTTATGGTGTATCTGGAAACATCATTAAGGTTATTGAACCCTTCCTTTCCAATCATAGTATAAAAGTTGTCCTTCTTCTTCTTATTCTGTAACCTCAGGGTTCCTCAAAGTTCAATCATTGGCCCTATACTCTTTTTAATGATCTTCCAGATATTCTCACATCTAAGGTGGCATTGTTCGCTGATATTATTCTTATCATGATAAGAAGCCAACTCTCTCTGATTGCTTGCAGGGGCCATTTAAACTTGAAAGGGATCTCACTTCTGCTACAGCATGGGGCTGGTGAACTTTAATTCAGATAAAACTCAAATTTTTTCAGCCAATCGTTTTTGCAATAATTTAGACCTTCCTATATTTGTGAACGGTAATGAGTCATCTACTTTTCATATTCTAGGATTAACTTTTACTTTCAATCTCTTTTGGAAACCATATATTCAATCCGTTGCAAAATTAGCATCTGCTAACGTTGCATCTCTTTATCGAGCTCGACACTTTCTTACTCTGGATTCTATTCTCTATCTCTATAAATCTTATAAAAATACATAATAACCACACAAGGACTACAACAAATAATCAATACAATATATTTCTACATGCACAACACCCCAAAATAAGACAGAAATAGATAACGTTTAGCATGATTTCTGTAAAAGACAGATCGATTTATTTATTTCCTTTACCATCTTTTAACTGGTAGTTTAGCCACTCAATTACTAACCTTTTTTTTAATTTTTAATTTTTATTATGTTTTAGTCACTCTATAAGCTTACACCTTGAATTTCGGTTGTACTTTTTGTACCCGACTACAATAATTTTAGATTTTTTAATCCTAATACCCAACTACAATAATTTTAGATTTTTTAATCCTAGGAACTTTATCTATTCTCTATCTCTATAAATCTCAAATCCAGCCTTGTATGGAATACTGTTGCCATATCTGAGGCGGATCTTCTAATGATGCCCTTTTTTTTTTAAGACAAGGTGCAAAAACGCATTGTAAACATAGTTGAACCTGCTTCTTGGAGCAGGTTCAACTATGTTTACAACCTTCAACCATTATCATATCATTGTAATGTTGAACCATGTTTTGAACCTTCAACCATTATCATATCATTGTAATGTTGCTTCCCTTTCTCTTTACTACAAATACTATAATGGGCACTGCTTTAAAGAGCTAGCGTCTCTTGTGCCACCTACTTAAATTTATTCTCGTGTTACTCCTCATTCAATCAAGTCTCATTCTTTTTCTGTGACTTTTTCTAAGTGCTCCAAAAACTCTTACTCCACTAGTTTTTTTCCTTGAACATCAGTTCTTTGGAATTTGCCTCCTTCATCTTGCTATATATAATTTGCAATCTTTTAAGTCATCTGTCAATCGTTATCTTGCTCTATAATCTTCATCCTCTCTCTTCCACTAACTTCCAACTCTAATTTGCAGCCTTGTTGGAAGCAAAGATGTTTAAAAAAAAAAATTTATCAGACTTTTTTAATAAACAAGAGTGCTTTCTTGATCGATAGTAATCCATAAAAGGAAAATTAAAAGTAGTTAAAACAAATAATAAAGCTAACAAAAACTAACAATTTGTATCTGTTTTGAATAAAGTAATGTTTTATTACCAAAATATAAACTTTATATGAGAACTATTCTGGATAAAGTTATTTTAGCAACTTTCTCTTTTAGTCTAAGATACCAAGTTCCAGCTCTAATTTCCTTATTTCTTGGTTTATTTTTATTTTATAGCATTAGCTTTAGAAATTAACCCTAGAACCTCATTGACAAATTTTACAAAATAAAATATTTCACTGGTTTTTTTCAGTTGCTTTTGTTTTATTTCAACATCTATTATTTAATTGCTAACAACTTTCTTTGCCAATTGACTTGCTTCTTTTTTATTAGTGTCTGTGAACTTAGGTAGCTTATTTTTCTTTAATAGGCTGATTTTACTTTGATGATCATATTGTTTGTAATTTCGATATTATGCGGCTGAAGATTTATGGATAGCATATGATCTTTGACTATGTTTCTTGCTGTTAGGGGTCGTCCATAAATTACATCATGCTATAAGGGGGAGGGGGGGTTGTGATTTTGTAACGACTCATTCAAAACGCACTTCTTAAGTGTTACGATTTTGTGACAAGAGGGGGGGGGGTCGAAAAAGGTCAAAAATTGCGTGACGTAATTAATGGACAACCCTTTACTGATTTTTCACTGATTTTTCAATTAAATTTTGTTCCAGTATGTGCATTTATACTAAAAGTACTGGCATACTAAAACCTCTTTGAACTGAAGCTTGTCCATGACTTGAAAATATTTTGAAAGTTGATGCTAACTCTTTATATTTATTTAGGTTGCATTTTTTAGTAGAAATTGTCTAAGCCCTTTCTGGATTGAATTCATGAAAGACATCTTGATAAACTCTTGATTCTCTTAAGAAATCTGCAAAATAATTTTTCGCTTTATCAGAAAAGAATGATAAAACATACTTCAAGCTAATCTAGTGGGTCAATAAAGATTTGAACTTCTTCTTGAATCATTGTTACCATTAGGGTTAAGAACCTGAGAATTGGCATTAGGGTTAAGAACCTGAGAATTGCATACAATGATATATCCAAGTTGAGTTTGCTCCATAAACTATTCAATTAATCGTACATACATATTAGTGCAATTTTTGTGAAAACTTTAAACATCAGCATTGGTTATTATATCTTTCTCTTGTAAAAAAGCCAGTCTAGTTACAAATGAAATCTTAGTTTGATTTGATATCTCTTAAGTAGATTATCTTTTTTTATAAAAATCACCTTATTTTAGTTGGACTGGTATAGACCAATTATCAATAAATTGAAGAGTTACCACCTAACTTATAAAAGTGAGAAGATGTTAAAAAAAAATGATGACGATGATTGCTGATTATCTTCATAATAAATTTCCTCTCCTCAATAGTTCTAAAAATTATGATTTATCACATTTAAACAGTCCTGGCACACAAAACAACTTATTTTGAAAAACCTGATCAAATCTTAACTAATAGCTCAATCAATTAATAGTAATGGCTACTACACGTGAAGCAATGGAATTGAGTCTAACTGAACA